CCTGAGGACAACACATGGAGCTACAACACATGGAGCTACACTAGAGCCTGGAGATGGAGGAGCCATGTGGAGATCCATGCCAGTGCTAAGATGCTTCTACCAACACTGGATCCACAAGACTTTCCACCCACTGGCCTGTGATCTTCCTGCATTCCGCGTCACTGTTTATGCTGCGGTAAATCAGTGTCTCTGGATTTTTTTTCTCTAGTTTACCCAGGCTAACACAGTAGCCAAATACTTAGAAGTAAAGGAAGGAGCCTTGATGGTACAGGCTATCTTATTTATGCGTTAAACAAAGAAATTAGGTGACACCATTGTCTACTAAGAATCTATTCTCCCTTTCAACTTCTTACCCAGATTTTTATTTGGGTGTCCACCCCTTCTCATACAACACCAGTACTTCAGAGAAAATTAGCCTCAATCTTAAATTTTACAGTTGGCCCTGCTTGTCTTACCAATCAATACATTTCCATAGCTACAATCATTGGTTTGGCAGTTCAATCAGGACCCTAGTTTGGAATTTTAGGACCCACAGATTCCCTCTTCCTCCCCAAGAGATGTGAAAAAGTTACATGTGGCCCCAATTGCCAGTGGCAGCCATTCTACAACTAGGAGGGTAATCGTAACATTAATGAGAAAACAGATGTGAAAAAGTTACATGTGGCCCCAATTGCCAGTGGCAGCCATTCTACAAGTAAGAGGGTAATAGTAACATTAATGAGAAAACAGAAGGAAACTGGGTTTTAAAACTATTGTGTTACTGGAACAACCCACGGTAAGTCTTGCCCTACCTCTGACTTCCAAATGCTCATTTGTCATTTTTACTGTGTTTAAATGAGCCACCATTTTCTGTTACTTATAATATAAAGTAAAAACTGATAGTAGGGGGAGGAGGAGGTCATTAACAACCATGTTTCTATAATGGATGACTTTGTCCCTTAAATTTATGACAGCAGATATGAAGGAGAAATTACTTCTAGATACACACATCGGAATAAAAACATGCTGAATTACATAGCCCACGTGGTGCCTTTAATTCTTTTTTATTTGACTTTTAAAATATGAATATTTTAGAATCTAGGTTTTCAGTCCTTCTTGAAAAACCAGAAGGTGTGGCACCACTAAGCCCAGGTGACTGTTAGAACAACAATCTGTTTGAACAGAATAGAGGCTGGCTAAGTCTACAAGGACACCCTCTGCCACAGTCAATACAAACAGAGCCTTTGGGCCACCAGCTCATTTCCTGCAGGTATGAGAGTTCCCACCATCCACATTTCGCAAGGCATATGTCAAATACCATGCAATTAGTCATGAAAAAATATATTTGATATTTTAAACTTTAACATTCTCATTAAAATCACAATTGCCTTTTAAAAAATCATAAAATCATGTATTTCATGGGAAACACTATGCCTAAACTAAGCAGCACTGAGTATCTTCAAATATCTGGGATAGAGGCTTTAAATGCAGCAGGAAGTTCCTGAAATCAGGCCAATATATTAATTATTCTTGGTACAAGAGACAAATTACTAGAGCACACAGAGGAGGACAAAAGAAAATGGTCTTAAATTACAACAGGAAATGTGTATGCTAAAATTGAGCAGGAGTTTGATGTGCTTGAATACACAGCTGGATTATGAGTCAAAATTCACCTACAGAAGCAGATTTGCAAAAGAAATTGCCAGAGGAAAGGTCCAACCCAAAGGGAGGCAGAACCGTTAAGGCTGCTGCTGCTGCTGTTGTAGTTTCTGTTGCTGTCACGGTGCCAGTAAGTCAATTCCGACTCACAGGGACCCCGTGGGACAAGAGCAGAGCTGCACCATATATTTTTCTTGGCTGTAATCTTTACAGCAGCTGATGGCCAAGTCTTCCTCCTGCAGAGCCGCTAAGTGGGTTTGAACCGCTAACGTTTTTGTGGTTAGCAGGCAAACTTAACTGCTGTGCCACCAGGACTCCTTAAGGTGAAGCTACATTAGTAAAGATGAAAGCAGTACTTTGTAAAGAAATACCGCTTGAGTCATGCAGCTTTACCACCAACTAGTTGGGGCAACTTAAGACAAAGGGGTATAGTTTGATCTTAATAGTAGTCTATTGTTCAAAGGAGCTAATACATAATCAGTAAAACACATGATTTAACAACAATCCTGAAGGAAAAAGCTACAGTAATCATAAATGTAGCTACATTTACTGATAATATTCACTAGAGGCAGGGCAATGTCACCCTCAGTGACATTAGCAATCGCCTGGTCAAGTTAGATGGGCAGTTCATTATTTACATTGCTACGTGCGCTTCTGCTTGTATCCTGTTTTTCACAACTTTAATAGTTTTAACGCAATGCAATGACTATAATACAAAGTTAATAATCAACTTTTTGCAGCTTCATTGAGTGAAAAAAAAGAAAACTAAATCACTAGAAAAAATGTTTTTTACTTCTAAAGTCTTTCGTAAGAAAAACGTGGAAAGTTAAATAAGAAAACCTAAAATCTATTATTGGAGATTGCACAGTAACATTTTAAAATGCAAGACCTGTAAGCTTTGTGCCCGCACACTGGAAAAAGCTTTACGTAAGCTACAAACACCTGCTTAGGGAAGTAACGAACTCTGTAAATTCATGCGACACAGGTGCTCCCGAAAAGGCTGAGAAACACCAAATTGTAGGCAATCTACTTAACTTTCCAGTGCCTTGGTTTCCCCGTCTATAAAATGGGATATACAGATACATACATGCACACATGAAGTTCGAGAGCAATGCCAACAGTTAATATGCTCAGCTGCTAACTGAAAGGCCGGTGGTTCCAACACACCCAGAGAAGCCGTGAAAGAAAAGTCTGACAATCTATTTCTGAAAGATCAGAGCCTTCGAAAACCCTATGGTTTTTCAACCATGAGTTCAAATCAGCTAACTCAGCAACTGGCTTTCTATAGATTGAGAATCACAGAGAGAAAGTTGTTGACTGCCTGGCAGTTTAAAAACTCCTATTTACAATTAGTTAATGTATTTTCCTTCTTTGAGTCGAATTAAGACTATGGTTGAGAGCTATCAACGAGGAAAAACTCATTGGGTGCAGCAGTACTAAAAATGTTTCGGCTTCCATGATTTTCTAAAGACTGACCAAGACCTCAGATATCCCCAAAAGACATGACAAGTGTGATCAGGGAGGAAGTCGCAAAAGGGACCTGCCTGCCTGCCATCTGATCTCTGCCCTCCGTGAGAAAAGGAGGACAGTGGGTGAATCTATTACTTTACAAATAAGTGGCTGGGAAGGACTTCAGAAATGCCCTTAAAATCTCTACCAGGCTAACAATTCTAGAAAACATATAAGCAAACTATTACTAACAGGACTTGATTTTTCCTTAAAGATAAAAATTCAAGTGGCTTATCTTTGGACATCCAACCTCCCACCAACAGGAGGGGACCACCCACCCTCCCTCCTCAGTATAGTCAAAAGAACAAACCAAACCAATTGTTGTTGAATTGATTCAAACTCTGGCCGAAGTGTGTCAGAGTAGACTGTGCTCCATAGGGTTTGAGTGGCTGATCTTTCAGAGGTAAATCACCAAGGTACCTTTGGGTAGACTCAAAACCTCAACCTAAGTAAGCTCTTAATCATACAGAAGAATTCACATCCTCATTCTGTCAAAGGAATGGTGTGTCTTCAAACACAAATAATTCATCATGGATTATCACTATCACAGATTGTTGTTATCATCCAAGATACATAAGGTTTACAAAAAGAAAACAAATATAAAAAAAGGTTTTTCAAGTTCCTCTAGTTTTAGATAAAGGAATTTATCAACTTTATCTTGAGAATCAAAACATTTAAAACCTCCACACACAAGTTCCCCAAAATGTTAAAAATTGCTGAAGCAGTGAAGTGGGTACCAGGATTCATTATACTACTGTATATATGTATACGTGCACATTTCTATAATATAAAGTTAGAAGTATGTATATCTGTGTCTGTAGGTGTCTATATATAAACTCTCAACACAACAAATTGGTAGAGAAATGCCCAGTATGCTCCCAAGTTCTCACAGTGCAAAAATAAGTGAATTTCACTTAGCTACTTTCTCATTCTAAATGTAGCAGGTGACCTGACTTAAAAGGTCTAGTGAAGAAAATAATTAACTGCCCTGGTATAAAATAAGCTTAACCTTGAAAACATTAAGTTGGTGGACAATAGATGTTGAAGCAAAAAAATCTAAAAGTCCTTCATTAGAAATGATAGGCCATTTGAAGCAAATGATGTACTGTATAGGGGATAAAGGAAGTTACTTAATATCGACTTATTTAAAGTAACATTCAAGGCTCACAGTACTGTAATTAGCAAGGTCAATGATCAAGCATCCTTAATAAGAGGCATGAATTTTAAAAAGGAATAGATTATATTTTCTCTTCCACTATCTTTTTTATCTGCCACTCAATTTCCACAAGATTACTTTAACAGTAACTACATTCATTCTCAACACCTACCCTATATCATGTCTAAGAGTAAAACAAGTACTAACTTGGTGACAAATTAATCTCGAATCATCATGAAAAACAAGAGTTTTGTCTTTAACACTTATCCTAGCAAAGTCACTTTTCTATAATGAAGGCAGACCCAAGAGAGCAGATAGAACTATTCATATATATTACTTCTCAAACCCAAAATAACTTAAATTGCTCAAAAAAAATTAAGAAAATGCAGACATAAATATAAATCCTAAGGGACATTTTTTTTTTTTACAAATAACTTAAATCTTCCACTGGAATGCCCCAAAAACTTCCATAGCAACGATTATTTCCTTAACAAAAAAATGATCTGTACCCACTTATAAAGAAACTTGGAGCATCTAAATTTGTCCTTCAAACTGAAAAGTACAAGAGGTTGCTTCATTTAGGCCGATAGAATTTTGGGTTTCTATCCACGGACACGCACGTGCAAGGTTTTAGCTCTAACTTCTGGTTCCCCCACCCAGAGCAGAATGGAGGCTTATAAAACATCTCTCTACTTACCAGATTAAAGACAGTTTCGACAATATCCCTATTGGATACTTCTCCAACTTCTACCAATCCCGTCAGCACGGCAAATTTCATTCGAATGCCTCTGATGGGGATCCCTGGTTGCAGGGGCAATGCACCCCCTTCCCGAGGGGTTTCTTCTCCTTTTCCTCCTCCTCCTCCCCCGTCATCACCTGTTGGTGGCGGGGAGGGGACGTGGTTATCTTCGCTTGCCATGGTCGGTGCACCGGAACAGACACCTTGGCGTCACCCTGGGGCAGCAGTCGTAATAAGTAGTAATAAGCACAACACACGCAACGCAAAACCAAACGGCCTCTGTCCTCCAACTTGCGAAGCCCCCAAAGCGGCGGATGTGCAAAGTCCTCGGCGTCGCCCTCCTCCTGGAGGAGAATAGTTGTCCAATCTCTCTCCCCGAGGCTGACAACAACGCCAAACCCTATTGGAAGATTAGGTATCTATTAAATAGGCTAGGTTTTCTAGGGGGAGGTGGGGGGTGGGCAGTTGTTGCTACAGGGACAGACAAGTTACTAAAGGGACCCCACGACTGGCCACCCGCTTCGCCCGGCCTGCAGGAGCAGGGTTCGGGGTGCAGGCGGGTCCGCGAGGCCCCAGAACAGGTTCCCTCCTCCCCCACGCTCCCGCAGGTTCTGGGCACCGGGCGACCTCTCGTCACAGGTGCACGGAAAGCGAAACTGCCGGGCGTGGGGGAGGGGCTGCAATAGAGGAGGGAGCCCCCAAGCTACCAGATAGGCAGAAAGTTCCCCCTCACCCAGAGACTCCGGACTCGTCCTCACCCCCCGCCGGGGCACCGCGAGACGGAGGTGGCGGCGGGGATCCGGGGCAGGAAAAGGCGGGGGAAGGGGGCGGAGATTCCGCTCCACGCTCGGCCCAGGGGGCGGGGCGGGGCGCCGCTCGCCATTCACCTGAGGTGAGCCCCGGAGAGGAGGGGAGGTGTGTGTGTGTGAGTGTGTGTGTGTGGTGGGAGGAGGGGAGGGCAGGCCGCCGGGGGTGAGGGGGTGAGGGTGCCGGACCGCGACGGCGGGAAGCGGAGGGAGGAGAGGGAGGTGGGTGCACCTGGTCGCAGCCTCCAAGATTCCCTAGCCTGCTGCCCGGGAGTCCGCTGCTGCACCGAACTCCTTGGCTTCCTGGCCCGCCCCACCCTGGCGCTCAGCCTTTGCAGACGCTGCTGCTGGCACGACCGGCGCCGCCACCGAGGCTGCTGCGAGTCCAAAGGATGCTCCCGCCGC